GTGGTTTTTTTGTCTAAACCAAATTTGTTGAAGAAAAGTGCGACAGAGGAGAAAGTCGGTTACCTTCGCAGAAGCACTCAAAATGGAGTTTGATTGGAGATGAATCACGACATTTTTTAGTTTCACTGTATTTTGGAGTGAAAAATGGGATTTTCGGTTGGAGATGGCCTTAGCCTATTGATTGAGAGCTTAAGCACCCACTAAATTGATCTCAAATTCATAAATTTACAAATATATACATTATATATATTTGTAATTTTATGATTAAATTCGCTCAAAGTTCATAAAATATCTGATTGATGAAAAAATCATTTAATCGGTCTTGTGCAATTTAACTCCTCGTGTGGGACTGATCATTTAGATTTAGGTTTCGTTTGGGATGACTTTTTTGCTGTGTCTTAAAGCAGCATTCTAGTATAAAAATTAAATTTTTAAACTAAAAAATTGATTTAAGAAGCAACAAAAAAGCCGTCCCAAACAACTACTTTTTACTATTTTAAATCAAATTTTTAGTACAAAAGCTTTTCTTGAAATAAATTTTTTGTACAAAAAAATGTTTCAGAAGGTAATAATAAAGTCATCCCAAGACTTCGTTTGGAATAACTTTATAAAGTTGTTGTTATTAAATTAACTTTTTAAGACTATTGTGAAAAACATTTTTTAGTACAAACAATTTTTGAAAACCAACGAAAAAATAACTTCCAATCACAAATTTTAGTTGCGATCTCAAACACAACGCAACAAAAAAGTTGTCCTAAATGAAGCCTTAGACTTTGGACTGCCAACAAAATTTGTTGTTTATGTTGAGCTTGATAATTCGTTCAATTTCAACTAATTTTTATAATCATATTTATAAATTATTCAAAATGAAAAAGATTTTGGTACAAAAAAAAATTAAAAACATGCTTTAAGAAACAATAAAAAAACAGTCCCAAATGAGGCCTTTATTTGTCCGTGTTCGACTCATTAATAAATTGATTATATTTACATATCTTATATAATTTATAAGGAATTTTCAAATAAATCTTATGACAGTGATCATTATATAATTTATATTTGGCTCTATTAATTAACAAATAAAATATGAACAAAATATTTTGAATAACTTTCTTAATAAGCCAATTTAAAAAAAATAAAAAATAATTTACAACATTGAATAGCCAATACCGTCTCCTATCATTGGGGTTTTTCTTTGAACGTCGTGTGGAGTGTAACATCCTTATAAGGCCAAGTATATTTATTCAAGCTTAAATTAAAGTTATTAGATTCATTATTTGATTTACATTTAGTATTTTATATTCAAATTATATATAATTTAAATGAAAGAAAATTTATAACTTTATAAAATAGTTTTAATATATATACCTATATAAGAAATTAAATAGCCCTCTATTTTTTTACAAATATATGAATTCACATATTCTCTATAAATAGGAATTCATTTTACATAAATTTAGCAAATTTCATAAAAATTTGGACAATTTTTTTTTACGATCAAAATATTGTAAGAATATAGTTTTTTTCATGAATTAAAACAAATGTATATGTATTTTAATGAAATCAAAGATTTAGACTTCATTTGTCATAGCTTTCTTAATGCTTCTTAAAGCAGTTTTCTAGTATAAAAATTATTTTTTTTTACTAGAAACTTATTTTAAGAAGCAGTAAGAAAGCTGTCCCAAACAAATCCTTAGGGTTTGTTTAGAACAACTTTCTCTCTACCTTTGTTTCTTAGATAACAATCACAAATTTATTTGGCTACTAATAAAATTTGTGTAATGGAAAGCTACATTTTGGGACCAGAGCTACTAACGCTTGTTAGGGATAACCTTTTTACTGCTTTGTTAGGGATCATAGTTTCTGTTTGGCAACGATATTTTCACACCTTTCACAAAAAATTTTGTGCTAAATTTTTTTTTTTTTACAATAGTTTTATAAAAAGTAACTTTTCTCATAATAGTTTATAATCACTTTTTTCAAAAAAAAAAAAAGTTGTTATCAAAAGAAGACTTATAATAATTTTGCAATCAACTTTATAAAATACTACTATTATTTCAATTAGATACTTAGGCTTCGTTTGAGACGGCTTTCTTACTGCTTCATAAAATAGATTTTTAGTACAAAAATTTTAAAAAACTGTTTTAAGAAGCTGTTAGAAAGCCGTCTCAAACGAAGTCTTAATCATGTTATAAGATTTTATTGTGAACTTATAATTACATTTTTTTAAACCATTATTTTACCAAAAAAAAAAACTAAAATTTAGATATTACATAATTTTTTTCTTAATGAAGAACTAAATTGCGCATTGAAAATCTTATACTAAAAAGTAAAAACAGGAGAAGAGCTACGTTCGCTTGTTGCTGACTTGATATAGTCAAATTTTGCAAATTCAATGACGAAATTTCAATTTTGTAAACCCATAATGACAGAATCAACCCTCGTTCAAACCCAAAATGCAAATACGCGGTGGCGCCAACAACTGGGTGAAGTCAACAGCAATTTCCCCAATTATCTTGGCAGCTTTTATATTCTACATTCAACGCGAGATGCCAACACTGTAGCCCTCCCTGTAGCAGCAAACTGATACCGATGATGCTTCCAGCTCCCACACGTTAATCATTTTGGGTAAAATAGCATATCAATTATGTGAATGATGTGATTGTTCGAATCATAGATTTAAATAATTCTTTTTTTTATTATTTTTATATTTTATTCTAATTTTGTTTTCTCAAATTTTAATTATTTTAATAAAAATAAGGACCTTTTATTATAATAGTATTTTTTATTTGTTTTTCTTTTCAACATATTACTCAATAAAGTAGAAATAGTGACACTTGTGATCCTCTCAATTAAAAAAAAAATTCATAAATCTATCATAGTTCAATTTAATTTTTAAAATAATAAAAATCATTTATGTCATAATCAGCAGATTCTTATGTCATTAATCACTTTATATTTTAATTACAGTAATTAAACATAATCATGATAATTTATTCTTATCTTGGCAATATTCTCCAACTGCTAAAATTTTTTTTTGGGACGGCTTTTTTCCCGCTTCTTAAATTATATTTTTAATACAAAAATTAAAAATTTTATAATTATAAAAGAAAGCAGCTTTAAGAAGCGGTAAAAAAGACGTCCAAATGAAACTTAAATCAATAAATTTAATATTTAATATCACCTCTTAGATAATATTTGTTAAATATTATAATGAAATAATTTCATAGCCCAAAGGTCCAATTATCTAAATCCACGGGTGCAGTTTAATGCTCATGACTTAGGCTTCTTTTGGACGGCTTTTTATTGTTTTTTAAAATAATTTTTAGTACAAAATTTTTATTTTTTGTACTAAAAAATTGCTTCAAGAAGCGATTAAAAAGTTGTCACAAACAAAACCTTAATCCTCTAAATCCAATCTTAAGCCAACATTGCTTATTAATGTCTTTACTCTTTAGCATAACATCATTATAAATTAAAAAATAAATAAGTTATATATTGCCTTTTTTATTGCATGATAATTAAATATTGAATTTAGTATTTTTGCCTGATATTATTTATTTTTTTACCTATATGAGTCATCTCTCTAAATATAATTGTTATAATCTTAAAAAATCATCTTGATCGGGCACGAATCTGGAGGCAAAATCAAGTCGGAAACTTCAAAATTAAATCTGGGATCAATTGAACTCCGATTTCAGCAAACTTATAGTCAAACTGAGCGTCTCGGAAAATACGAATCCAACGACACCGAATTTAACTCAATCCGAGCCCAAATTAAACCAAATCAAGGACCCGAAGCTCTGGTGGAAAGTTCAAATCACAATTTGAGTTACCAAACGGTTTCCAAACATAACGTGCTTATAATTGAATCGAGCGGCTCGACGAGACGAATCCAACAAGCTCAAGATAGCTGAATTCCGACATCATTAAGATCTTCATATGTCTGACAAACGGTCCACGATCAAATGATTCAATATTGATCGTCCATCCGAACCACTCCACATAAACCACTGATCTCTCACATATTTACGGGCATTGCTACTCCAGAAAACTATAAATAGATCCCTCATTTCTCTTGAGAAGGGATCCAAGCAAGAAGAAGAAGAAGAGAATGATTGTAGGGAAGAAACTCCTCCATGACCACCGTCGGAATTCTGCTCAACGCCCGAGTGATGCCGGAATTCTACCTGACGCCCGAGTGACGCCAAAATTCTTCTCAACGCCCGAGTGAAGCCGGAATTGTTCCCAACGCCCAAGAGACGCCAGAATTCTACCTGACACTCAAGTGACGCCGGAACTCCGCCCGATTTCCAAGTAACGCCGAAACTCTGCCCGATGTTGTGACTGAACTTCAATCTAGAAGTGATTCACTGTAATTTGATCGTCCTAAATTTCAAGGACGAGTCGACCTCTTGTATCTCAAACAAACACTAGTAGAATTATTTCAACTGGGCGTGGCCCCGTGATTTTTTCCCTTTCCAGGGTTTTCCACGTAAAAATTATGGTGTTATTATTTCTTCCCTGTTTATGTGCTAGATATCCGTACAACGCTGAGACAAGAAATTTTCTAACTCTATTGCCGCGTATATTCTAGTCTGTAACAATCATATTGTTAAGAATATTAATAAAAAGTTAGAATATTTTAATTACTTTTTTATTAGACTAAATATTAAATTTATATTTTGAGATTCCTATATTTTATATTTGTTTTAAAATAAATCGAACTCTAAATTCAGCAGGAGTCCCTCACGCTCGTGAAATTTATTCTATACGTTAAGCGTTGCACTAGTGTTGATGGCTACATAAACGGCTACATATCCAGCTTTACCAGAACTTACCTGGGTCCCACACGCAATACCAGCCAGGCGTCCACAAACACATTATTTCCTCAAATGAAAAACCTGCCGTTTCCGCGTTCACGAATCTTCCCTCTGCCGCCCTTCTCCTTTCTCCATTTATAACCGCTTACCTCTTCCCCCAACTAAACCGTAACCCTCAAATCCCCATATCTCTCCCTCTACTTCCCTCTCTCTCTCTCTGTCTCTATCTCAACAAGTTTCTCTATGGGCAACTACCTTTCCTGCTCCCTCTCCTCTCCGGTCGCCGGCCTCCAATCCGGCCCCAAAGTCATCCTGCCCTCCGGCGCTATCCACCATCTCAGCGCCGCCTCGGCCACCGCAGCCGAGCTCATGCTCGAACACCCTGGCTTTTTCCTGGTACACTCTAGCGCCATTCTAATAAACCGCCGGCTATTTGCCCTCTCGGCCGATGAAGAACTCGAGCTCGGCGTGGTCTACGTCATGTTTCCAATGGACCGGGTTGGTTCGGCCGCCTCCGCCGCTGACATGGGTCGGCTTCTTCTCGCAGCCGGTAGGCAGGCCCGTCGGGACCGGGCTCAGGTTACTCCGGCCGCAGAGTCGTCTTCTCCGGCTTTGTCGATGGAGACGGCGTCGGAAAACCCGCTGAAGCCGGAGGAGGAGGACGATGTTTTGATTGCGGAGTTCAGGTATAAGAGGAGCTTGTGCCGGTCGAGGAGACCAGCCTTGGAGACGATAACGGAGGAAGCAGTTTTTTAGATTTTTTTTTTTTTTAGTTTGGTTGTAGAGGAGGGATTCGATTCCTCTTCGGTTAGCACATGAATTGGAAGCTGGTCGTTCAAATTTATTTGGACGGCTGAGATTAAAGCAATTGTATCGTGCCGTTCCGTGCTAGGTAGAAGGGATCTGAACCTGATAGAGAAGGGTTAGGTTGGGGACTTGATTGTATTCAAGTTGTAATGTGTATCAATATATGCAATCTGTTTCATATAATCTGGAAGGGCTTACCACATGACTTTATAAATGTGAATTGCATGGAAAATAAAGCATAACTTTATATACCATTTGGAATAATTTTTTTACTGCTTTCTAAAATAATTTTTAGTATAAATTTTTTTTTTGAAAGTATCAAAAAACAGTTGCCAGAAGATGTCTAATCAAGGCTTTGTTTGCGACGGCTTTCTTAATATTTCTTAATTTTTGTACTAAAAAGCTGCTTTCAAAAGTAGTAAGAAGGCTGTCCCAAACGAAGTCTAAGGCTTCATTTGGGATGGTTTTTTACTGCTTCTTATAGCAGCTTTCAAGTACCAAAATCTTAACTTTTGTACTAGAAAACTGTTTTAAGAAGCAGTAAGAAAGCTATCTCAAACGAAGCTTAAGGCTATGGTTGAGAGTTGAGACTGCTTTTTATTGCTTCTTAAAGCGACTTTCAAGTATAAAAATTAAACTTTTATAACTAAAAAGCTGCTTTAAGAAGCAGTAAGAAAGCCATACCAAACGAAGCCTAAACCTTATATTAAAGTCAAGGCCATTAAAGTTTTTTAGGCCTGTATTTTATGTTTTTATTTTGTACAATGATTGTACTAAAACATTTTACAATGACTTAAAAACTTATTTAGATAATAAGATTTATTAGGCTACATTATTAATAATCTTGTTGCTTGAAAGCTATCACATGAACCAGCAAAAAATAATAATACTTCATTGTACATATAAAATTTTAGAAAGATTTTTTTATGATTATAATGCCTATAATGATTTGGATGTTAATAATGATGGCATCAAAAGGTAGTTGGGGTGTCTCTAACCTACTTGATTTAAAATTTTATGTGGTTATATATAATATGAAGAATATAATTATGTATATTAGAGGAGTTTACTCTGCTAATTTTGGGATAAATTTTTATCCTCTCTCAGTTGAAGTTTTGTTCCCCCTTTCTGTTTGAAATCTTAATTCTTGTACTAAAGGAATGGTTTGTTTTTTATTGCGCTATATAAGAAAAATTCAAATTAAAAGTAGGAGTATTATGGACTGGAACATTCGTGGCGGTAGAGAGATAAAAAGTTTAATGTTTTAGTTTTGAAAGAAGATCCAAGACATATACAGATAAAGAGAGAGTGGTGCGAGAGTCATAAGATAGCTATGTCGTATTTGAGTTATGAGGACTCAAGATTTATTGTGATACAATTGTGTCTTATTTGAGCAAGATTATTCTGATACCCTTGTGTCTTATTAAGCAAGATTTTCACATATTTAGTCTTCGAGACATGAATGATAATTATCTATGTCGAATGTTCATTTAGGTGGTTGTGGTGCATATTCTATATATTATATTTTATGAAATATTTATATATTTTAACATAATGATACAAAGTAAATATATACGTCAAGCACACATTTCAACATTTCATAAACATTTGATTTTTCATACAAACTTAGGCTTTGTTTGTGATGACTTTCTTACTGCTTCTTAAAACAGCTTTCTAGTATAAAAATTTAAATTTTGTACTAAAAAGCTGCTCTAAGAATCAGTAAAAAAGACATCTCAAACGAAACCTTAGTTATTACAACTAGTTAGCATGTTTTAGATCTCATTCTATAGCTATATTATCTAAGAAAAAGTGTATATAGTAACCTATTATGTATTGAATTATTTTCTTAAAATTTAGATAAATGGCCCAAGTTATATCCAACGTATTATTTTATATCAAAAATAGGCACAATAATAGTTATTTTAAAGTAAATGTTGCCTCACTTTTAACATATTTAAACTCCATCAATCTAACTTCATCAACTAATCATTTACCCATTTGGTTCATTTTTATCTTCCATTGCATGAGACATTTGAAAAATTGTACCAAGAACATATCGGTCAATTGTTTTCTATCATGATTGATGCTCCTCAAGTAGCACATATGAGTTTATCATCTTCTTTTTCTTTCATAAGTTATGCGAACAAGATTAATGTTTCGTTTGAGACAGCTTTTTCATTGCTTTTAAAAACAATTTTTTGTACAAAATTTTCTTAAAATTTTTTTAACTAAAAAAATATTTTGAAAAGCATTAAGGAAGTTGTCTCAAACAAATCCTAAGGCTTCATTTCAGACGTCTTTCTTATTGCTTCTCAAAGCAACTTTCTAGTACAAAAATTTTTTGAGCTATAAATTTTTGTAAAGCTACTTTAGAAAGCAATAAAAAAGTAGTCTCAAAAGAAGTCTAAGGCTTCGTTTGGGATAACTTTCTTATTGCTTCTTAAAGCAGCTTTTTAATATAGAAATTTTTATTTTTGTACTAAAAAGTTCCTTAAAGAAGCAGTAAGAAAGCCGCCCCAAACAAAGAAAATTTTTAACTAAAACTCCGTTTCAAGAAGCAATAAAAAAGTCGTCCCAAACGAAGCCTATATCTCCTTTGGCACTTCAAGGTAAGCTAAAAGTTGCTACATTTCTTATCATGAATGAGAAAATATTCAAGATTACTATGTTGTTTTCTTTGTATAAGGTCTTTAATAATTAATAGTCATTAGTAGCTTTGAAAGTTGTAGATCCCCCATTGAATCTAAGTTATTATTCTTTCTTTAGTTGCAATATCTTTCAACATCTCTAACCTAAAATATTCAGTTTCTATAGTTATAGCTGACGAATGAATAATTCTACTAGTTCGATTAATTTCTTTTGGATAAGTGTCATTTATAGGTGTATTAAATAATGCACTGAAAAACTCTTCATTGTTCGCCTAAATATTTTTTATTATTGTCTTAAAATCTTGAATAAAATTTCTAATTTGATTTTTAAGGGCATATACAAGGTGAAATTCATATTGAAGTATAATGTATTGATGAAATTTGATCAAATCTAGAGATGGCCTTAAGAAAGATAAGGAATAAGTTTATTTAAAGAATTTATTTGTTTTCTTGTAGTAACTTGTTTTTAATAAGGAGTTATATTTACAAATTAAACTAATTTTTAGGTGCCTAAATAGATACTAAGAAAAATATTCGAAGATAAACTACTTGAATGAAATACATGTAATATTGAGAATATTTTTTTTATCAATCAATGTTGAGATTAGAAGACAATTAAATATGTCTTATAGTGACAGATTGAGAGCTATGACTGATAACATATGTACAAAAGAAAACATGCACCACATTAAAATGGAATGTCATTCATTGGTTTTTCTAATTATACTCATGATGATATTTACCTGATAGTACATTAATAAACTGATTGATAATATATTAAATTGATTGACAGATTGATAGCTCATACTGACATTAATATTGATACAACATATCATATCATACTTATATGATTTATTGGGTGATAATACTCTTTACCATGCCTTATATTTCTCTTTTGATTTTATAGATCATATTGATTTTATTATTGATTTTTGAGATTTTTTTTTTTTTACTTATATTAAGAATGATTGATATTGATTAGAACTGAATATAAATACTGATTCTTTTGACTTGCATTGAAAGTAGTTATAAAATTTTGATTTTTTGCTTGATTTTTTAGCTAAGTATAAGGATTTTAATGATTTTAGTTTAGTGAAAGGTCGGGATCGTGAACATTGATACTAATAAAGATCGTCAGGTTATTCTTTAGATCTTGCTATGTATTTTCTTTTATTCTTTGCTAGCGAGGAGTTTGTGATATATTAGTAATTATATTGATCTCTTGATTATTACATATTGATTTTGGGAGAATGAATATTATACAATATTTTGAGGTATTTAATTGGTAGTTACATTCACGAGATATATATATATTTGTTATTTTGATGATTTATAGAACTAGTTGATTAATTAAGAAGATAAAATAGATAATTCTTTTAAATTTGATTCTATGATATTACAAATGGTATCAAACAATACACCATCCGGAAAAAGGGAACTAAGTGTCATATAAGACAATGATACGCCATGAAAGCCACCTATTGAATCATGTATGAGACAAAGTGCTACGTAGTTGGAGCCACCACTTGAACTCTTAGGAGCCACCTCTAAAATCCTATTTGCATGGTGGATGATTTTGGGATAAGGATAATAACGAGGATGTCATTTACTTGAGTAGGAAAAATTGTTGAACTCCTTAAGTAAAAGAAGTTAAACTCTTAAACATTGAGACGTCTTTTGATGTAATGGTTAAATTTTCACTTAAGAAACTCCACAGTTAAGTGTGCTCATCCTGTAGAAATCTTGAGATAGATGATCTCATTAGAAGTTACACTAATATGACAAAACTGTGAGATCCTTACACCAAAAAGAACAACATCTCGATTGTTAAGATTTTGGGCTGTTATATGTGATCTCTTGGAAAGTCACACACATGAGATAAAATCATGAGGCCCTTAGAAAAAGCGGGTAATATCTCGATAGTTAAGAGTTTTAGTTGTTACATGATCTCTATCCAAATCATGCCCCAACATATTTCAAAGTCATTTATGAACCCTATTCTAACTAGCGGTATAAACGAGTCAACCCGACTCGCGAGCTTGCTCAAATTTGACTCATTAACCAGCTCATAAGCGAGCTTATCGAGTTCCGAGATCGAGTTTGATTGAGTTGTTGCTTAACTTGTCGGGCGGAACCATAAAAGACAAAACTAGAAGCAAGAGGTTGAACCGCAAAAGGTTGAACCGCAAAAGGTTGATCCAAAAGTAAAAAAATGCTAAATATCCATTTATTTTTGGTCAAGCTGAACCAAATAGGATTTTCTTTTGTTGTCATGTACGAAGTGTGAAGTGCGAGATGGAGCTTTTGTTGTAGTTTGTGATTCATGAGAGAGGAGTGACCAAATTGTAGAACAACTTTCATTAATTTGATAGTGCCTTTTGGCTTAACATGCACATGTCTTTTCTTCCTCCTGCATCATCTCCGACTCCCTCAATGCTATTGCTATCATGTCCACCTTTTGTGTTGTCATCCACATTCTTTCGTTGAACAGAAGCATGCTCTTCGATCCAGAATTAGGAAATAACTCCAATCACTTCATGCTCTTCTTACGCCTCGCGAGTCTGCTTGCGAGCCCGCATCTATTGCCACGGCTCGAGGTCGAACATGCCCTTTGAGCTCGAGCTCGCAATTTGGCTGATGAGCCGAGTTTGAGTTAAGCAAGACTCAAGCTCGGCTCAAGCTCAACTCGACTCGTTTACTCTCCTAATTACAACATAATCCAAACATGGTTTGAAAGATGTTCTAACATGTTTGAACCATGTTTAGACATGGCTCAAACATATTTGAAAACCTCTCGAACTTGTTTAACCAAACATATGATATAACACCATTCAAACATCATAGGTTTCAAACAAGGCTAGAATAAAAATAAGATCTTTTTCAAACTTATCTTAATTAAATATAATAAATATATTACAGTCATTTATTGTCAAATGATACAACATCGTTCAAACATAGAAAATGATATCCGCAAATGCCAAAAGTCTATGTTACACTACATTTTCGAATTCAACTTCAATCTTCAAGTTACTATTATCACATCAAACAAAAAAAATCACAGCAAAGGAGGTTGAAATTAGCAAATGCAAATGCCTCAAAGTGCATGAGTGAGCTAGAAAAAGGGGAACTCGTTACTCATTCTTTTTAATGAGAAACACTTGAAAATGAAGACAAAAGTATATAAATAATATTTTCATTAAAAAAAAATATTTGAGTATGTTAAAATTTTCTCCAAATGAGATTATTGTAAAGCACAGAAAGTCAAATTTCTTAATAAAATTAGAGTATAAAAATATTTTTTAACTTAATTTTATTTTTGACTTAGAGTTGATGTGATTTCTGATTCAATATGAAGGGATTCGACCAAATCACGCTGATGTTTGGCTTGCGACATGCCTACAAACCCCTCGCCTTTCTATTAATTAATTTTGTTAATTATATTATATTCTTATTTAAATTAAATTAAATTAAATTAAATTATTTCTCGCTATCCATCTGTTCGCTGTTCTTCACTGTCTTTTTAGCCGAAGATTTGCTAGGTCAAGAGTTTTGAAGTGAGTCGCTAAATAACTTCTTCGCCTCTTGGACGACATTCCTTCCTGTCGGATCCTAAATCACACCTCCTCGTCGTTCGTCTGTTCGATCGGAAGTAACGACGACGAAGGGAGCTTGCTCGTTGCGAAGGTGGCCATCTTTCTTCCGTTCGCGCGCTTCTTCGGCCAAATCCCGTAAATCCACCGAACTCCCGGATTTACGGCAAAAAGGGCGAAACGGAGGATTTAACTCGCTATGAGATTTAACGGTTCCCTAAATCTTGTTTGTTAAATCCTGCTCAAATCCTGCATAAATCCTGTATCCAAACAGCCCCTTTAATCTCTAGGCGTCGAGCTTCTTATAGATCGATCCAAGGGATCATGTTTCTTCACAGGCTTTCTCGGGTAGGATTCCGAATTGCACGAACGTCTATGCCAGGTGCCTTTTTTATTTTATTCTCTACTAATCTTCTTCTTATGGCTCTTACTGAATTCAGTTATGTTGAATGACTATTCTGCTTTAGTTTATTCCATCCTTTTGTTTAGTGACTGTTGCACATATTTGAAATTTTCTAGTTTTTGGGAAAGAAAGGATACATGTTTAATATTGGTGAGTTGTGAGCTGTTTATGGCTGCATATGGAATGCATGTAAACTAAACCCATACATTGTAGATGCTGCAGATTTAACTGCATTTACTTAGCAGCAGAGCTCAGAGAGAAATGAACTGTGAAGTATGAAGTAACTGATTTTTACCCATTAATTTTACTTCAAGCTAAACACAAATAATTGCCTTCCGTGCGAATAATTTATGTCAAGCTTTCACCTTACCAAATAGTTGAATTTGAGGTTTTTTATCTCATTTGATGGCTTACATGTTAAGTATATTCCCTGTTTCTGTTCTCTTTCGCATCTCATCCTTCCTATTATGACCCCTCGCTTATCCACTCTAACAAATTAAAACTATGGAAAATTGCCAATTTTAATAATTTTCTATTTTCCATACAATGTGAATGTCATATAAGGAACTTTTTAAAGAACTTCTTATGCTTTACCTTTTTTTGTGAGCACGGACATGTCTATTAAGTTTGCATTTCTCTTTATTTGTACTCCTTGCAAACAAAGACATTTATCATTAAATTAGGTTAACTAACTTTCTTTCTTTTTTTAACTCATTAATTATTCTTTAGCAAACAACAATGATGAAGAATATGAAGATGCTTTTGAGCTTAATGGTTGATTAAATACCCATTATAATCACACAAGATTATGAGTTGATTAGCCATGGCCACACAAGCACACAACCAACTAACTATAATCGAGGAATACATGAGATGATCAAGCATGTTTGGTCACTATTATTATTGACTTGCTTTTATTTTGTTGATTGTGCCCACTCCACTATTTTTTTTCATTGCATATAACCTATGAAGTCTTTTTTGGCCTATAACTTAAGAATAAATGCATGAATTAGATATGTAGGCCTAAGTTGCATCCAAATCTAGCTAAAATACATGATTTGCATTTAAGGAATACTTATATGGGATGGATATGACCTCAACATATCTACTTGGAGTGAATTTCTTAATTAGCCAAACAAACTCATTTGTCAACCATCGTGCTGTACCTATCATTCAAACCAAATGGGAGTTTGATTGGTCAATCAAGCCAAAGTATTATTTGATTTATCGACCAATCAACTATATTTTCATTTATCCAATTGGTCAATCAACCAACCTGGGTCTCATTTGAGACTTTTGTTTTGTTGAAAAACAAATGAGTTTGTTAACGAGCTGAGCTCGAAATTCTGCTCAAGCTCGAGCTAGAAACTCGATAAGTTTGGCTCACGAGCTCGTTAATGAGTCGAGCTCAAGCCGGCTTGCACCCTAGCTTGAATTAATCGACCATTTACTTGTAGAAGGCCATAGCTTGGCACTGGTAGGCTTATGACTAATAGTTATGGTACATACTTTTAGGGGTGGTGGGTGTTTTGAAATGGATTTCAAAGAAGATTAAACTAGGGAATGCAAATCATTTTTTATGTGATTAGATCATTAGATACCAAAACTTGCATTCATGTCCCACACACTTTGCTCTCTGGATTTCGATATTCCTTCACGCAATGTTGATGGAGAAGCCTTGTATACAAGCGCTCATTTTCTTCCAAGGGAAAGGGAAACCTTACAACTTCTGTTCTGAGCAAAGGGAGCCGCTTCAATTCTTCGCCAAGGCTTGGCAAGTAGAAATAGGGGGATAAGAAAGTTCAACTAACAATCCTTACTCGCAATGTTGGTAAACATCAATTAAAAATCTACGAATGAATTGGAAGCAAGATAAACTTGGAGAAATGAACACCTTAAGCTAGTAAAGAGTTCATAATAAAAGCTCATTTAATAGAGTTTCAATAACTAAATTAGCGTTCTTTATATAGATTATGAGAGGGATACTAAAGGCAATTTTCAACCTATTCGAATCTCAAAGTCCACCTAAAGTTCAACTAGTTGTTGAAAGAAACTACTCATTGTTGAACACATCATAGCGTTGAATGAGCTAATGTGAGGGTACAAATGGGGCCCATTCCCTGATATAAAATAGTCATCTTTTACACATGACATGTGTGGGTGAACATAAGAGTACATGTCTGTGGTTCCTAGAAATAAATGTTGATAACTAGCAAAAATGAAATATGCTATCTATAATTTGAAATTCTCTTTGTAAACAGGTTTATAGCAATTTAAGTTATTTATTGAAAAAAAATACATTTAATGTACTTTTATGAATTTAAATGTTTCTTGGACCATGGGACCCCTTAACCTAATTGAATCCCAAATTTTCTAGTTTTCTAAGTTAGGCCTTCAAGCTTATTAGTTCTTTAATCCTTCACTTCTAGAATGAATTTTATTTGTTTTTCACTTCTGTAAGCTTTGAAGATCTCTTACAGTTTAATGTTGATGCAAGTATGTGATACACTTGATTAACCATAAATGAACACACCAATAGGTCTTTGTTGTCATCTTAACTATTTATAAGTTTATTTTGGGCTCACATGATCAAAAATCTCCTTTTTTATGGTAATAGCTCCTCTTTAAATATGCAATCAATTATCTAAACATATTGACATCTACAATCATATAATATGTAATCATAAAAGAACATGTTCATATTAGCTTCCCACAATCATATCATCATAACATGTAAATCACATCATAGAGTTCCCAGCTCATACAATTGCCAATAAACCAACATCTAAGTTTAAAAAAAAATAAAAAATAAATTAACATCTATTCTTCACCCTCTTTGGCATCATTAAGAAGCTATATTCAATAAACATGGGTACCAAATAAAGATGCATGAAATGAAAAAACCCAATTTCTAAAGTAAGCATACTTTGTATGTGATAAAATAATTATTACATTATCAAACAATATTGGTGAACTAAATAAATTTAAGATAAACTTAGAAAATCGTTATGATGAGAAAAGCCAACAAAAAGGAAATTCAACCAAGAGACAAAAACAAAAGAAAAGAAAAATAGACATAGTTCTCTTATTGCCACTCCTCAACAGGTAACAATAAGCCTATGCTAGATCTTATTTCCACTCCTCAACATAGAAACCCAGAGATAGTTGTTCGACTTTAGTGTGCAAAAGAAGTGATGAAATTAACATTGAGTTGAGTGAGATCTATTTCTCTTAATGTTCAATCTTCAAATGATTTCTCAATTTCAACTCCATTAATTGATTTTGAAGGTGATTTTTCATTTATAATCATTCACTATTTGATGCAGCATATGACAATCGATTGATTTTTGTAAAATAGACATAGTTCTCTTCCATGAGTCAAATGGGACATCGTAAAAGAGAGTTTCAACTATTCAAATGAGTGTTTTTGTATGTAGATTTATGGAAAGGATAATGTAGAAAAAATTCAATTTACATGGTTGCCGAAAATTCAGCTACAAGTCAACTAGATTTTGATAAACAGGTAACTGTTATTGGGAAGATCATAGACACATGTTGGCTTGCATAGAGGTACATGTGGCCACCTATGATGCACCGACACGGCACTTAGAGAGGGTATGCAGTGTCGGACACGTGTCGGACATGGACACGCGTCAGACACAGCATGGACATGTGTCCGACACGGCATCAGAGTGTCGCAATTAAAAAAATAAAAATTAAAATCGAACGCGCGTGTCGGACACGCGTGTCCGGTTATTAAATGAGGTATCGCTAGGTACATGCTCGGTACCGCTAAGTACATGTTCGGTACCGCTCAGTACATGCTCGGTACCGCTCAGTACATGCTCGGTATTGCTCAGTACATGCTCAGTATTGCTCAGTCTTTTAGAAAGACTCTCCGGAGAAAGTCCAATATTGAGAATCTAAATATTGGATATTGGCGCATACGTGGGCGGGAAGGGGGCCCCACTACTTATTAATTAAGGGGGGGACTAGCCTCATGACTTCCCACTGTAGAGAGGTGCACCTAACCCACCTACCCACTCATCATCATCAATCAAGGTGTTCAGCTGACTTGCACAGAAAGACCCCTATTGTATAGTAATTCTAGCCCCATCTTTTGACTGTTGTCAACTAATCTTTTCAATGTTCGAGCTACCGCCCTATGTTAGAACATTTCTTTGAATGCTATTCCGATCTAAGTGGTCTTATTCCGTGTCCCGTGCTAGGAAGCATTACTCCTCTTTTCATTCCAAATTCAAGAATACGACCGATACGATTGATTGGTCTGTGCGCTTCTCTTATTACTTTTTTGTATCCCCCTGTTCCTCGGATACAATTCGATCCTTCTACGGCCAAATCTCAATTTGTGGAAAGCCTTCGATGGCTTCCTTATGAAAACATCCATTTTTCTATGGGTATAGACGGTCTTTCATTATTCTTCGTAATATTGACCACATTTCTTATCCCTATTTGCATTTCAGTGGGTTGGTCTGGTATGAGAAGTTTTGGGAAAGAGTATATTACAGCATCTCTAATTCGTGAATTTCTAATGATCGCCGTGTCCTGCATGCTGGATCCTCTACTATTCTATGTTCTTCCCGAAAGCGTGCCAATCCCTATGTTGTGCGGAGCTGAGCATCTTCTATTCGCTGGGATCAAGCTTTTCCTCTGCAGGGGCCTTGTGCAGTAAACCCCCTACGGGCGGTCCTCCGTCGTCGTCAAGTAGTAAAAAGTCAAGTCTTCCCCGCGAAGCTTTCGGGAAGAGGGGTAGTCTTGTGCGTCAGCATAGCATTTCTGGTCGAACCACCGAACCACACATCTTTTTTTGGTGGGAGGGTACTCCGAGTAGTGGGTACCCCGTAGGACCTCGACCCGCCTACTCGGGTCTTGTATGGATATGCAGGAAGGGGTGCTCCTAGGTGTGTGTAGGGGGTGTGTTTGTTCGCGAGAATGGATTCCTCGTCAAGTCAGGGGGGTGTGGACACACTTGCGCGAATTCGAGTAAAGGCTACAAGGTGCGGAGCAAAGAAAAGAAACTGTACCCGACCAGGGATGGACGTAAACTCGTAAGCTACCGAGGGTAGGGATAATCGTCCAGGTCTTCTTGTGAAAAAAAAAAAAGCCGCCCCGCCACAGCGGGCAGGTTGGTTCCTCTGTCGTCGCCGGGGAGCTCTTGGCGAGGAGACCGTAGGATAAGTTGCTAAAACGGGAGGATCGACCCGTTCAGTAGAATTCCGAAGAAAGACTGTTGGCAGCAGGTGGAGACTTGGCCCCCTGAAAAAGAAATGCGGGCAGGGTCGAGCTCGGCAGAGGTTTCGAGAATAGGGTAGGTCCTGTCCTAAACGAAATATGAAAAAAAAAGGGGGCGGGTACCTTTATGCATGCATCTCCGTACAAGTGCTGCGTACAAGTTCCGGCCGGAAAGATCAAACCAATTGGAACCGCTCACATCACAGTAGTCGTAGTTGCGTAAAGGCCGTCAGTCGGGCCATAACATAAGGCAATGACTTTCACAGATCTCTCTCTCAAAATCTATAGAGAGAGATCTGCTGCGTGAGCAACCCGACTGTGCCTGACATGTGCTCTACAGGCCGCACTCCATCTTTCTTCCCAACGAGCCCTTTTTCTTTTGTAAAAAGAAAAACTATCGCCTTTCACTTGTCTAAGTGAAACGCTTCGCGCCTTTTTTCTTGATTTTGAAGAGGTTCGAAAGGCAGGGTTTTTGACGGTCGGGCCCCCTACCACTAGCCCGGCTAGCTAGTGAGCGGTTCTTTTCTTTCGGGCGGGAAGCAGGCCGGGCCCTACGGGCGGGCATCCCCGCTACGCAAGCAGCATTGTTCGCCACCACCCGAGAAGCAAAAGATTCGAGACGAGAGTCAAGGTGCGGAGCAAAGAAAATACAAGCATAGTGGTCTAATGACAAGGGCCGACGACGGAAGCTCGGGACGGAGCCGTATGATGCGGAAGTCTCACGTACGGTTCCCTGAGAAGGGAGTGGCTACCCACTGGAGCTTCGACCAACCAGCACCGGTCAATTCTGCTTTGGGGCCACCCCTTACTCTACCATTATTATAGGGGTATGGGGTTCGAGACAAAGAAAGATCAAGGCAGCATATCAGTTTTTCCTATATACTTCACTTGGATCTGTTTTTATGCTATTAGCTATTCCGTTGATTCTTCTCCAAACAGGAACCACCGATTCACAAATCTTATTAACCACAGAATTTAGTGAGCGGCGCCAAATCTTTCTATGGATTGCTTCTTTCGCCTCTTTCGCCGTCAAAGTGCCTATGGTACCAGTTCATATTTGGTTACCCGAAGCCCATGTAGAGGCACCTACGGCTGGATCCGTCATCTTGGCAGGAATTCCTTTAAAATTGGGAACCTACGGGTTTTTAAGATTTTCCATACCCATGTTTCCCGAAGCGACACTTCGTTCCACTCCTTTCATTTATACTCCAAGCGCGATTGCTATAATATATACTCCCTCGACCACTTCAAGACAGATCGATCTTAAGAAGATCATTGCCTACTCTCCAGTAGCCCATATGAATCTGGTGACTATTGGTATGTCTAGTCGGGCGGCGGCCGTTAGGTCACCTATCTTAGGAAGATCATGCCTTATGCGCGCTTCTAAATCTTTTAATCAGTCATGCTTAGAAACTCAATCGGTTTTGGGTGGCCATCTTGTTCTATTCTAAGCCGCTTGGTCTATCCAATAAAGCAAAACTGCCTTTGTTAACTGAGGCATGTCACAAAATCAGCATACTTGGCATTTTTTGTACCCCAGATCTAACTTTCCATCAAGGCTCTTAAATCAAAGTTCCGTCAAATATGTAAAATCGAAATAATCAGTTCTCATTAGCATTATTAAAACTAGTTGCATCCACTTTTTAAATAAATTTTAAGATTAATTAATCATAAATCATGTGCATCAAAATTTTTTTTTAATGGATGACTATGATTACATGAGAAAATAATTGCAATTATAATGCATGGCTTGTAATCAAATGTGTGGATTGTTTGCAATTATTATAGTGTATTTGATGGATTTAATTAGGGAAATGCATTGGTAAAACTAGACTATTTTTAGTGTTTATTTGTGGCCCAATCATTCTTGTTTTCTTCATATGCTTAATGAATGATTAAATTATTATATATATTGATGAAACATGTTATTCAGCCTATAGATTATATAAATTGGCAGTTGTGAAAATAAATTTAGGAGGAAACTTTTAATTTCGTTATTATTTGAGCTGTTTTTCTGACCAGCCTATATATATGGTTAAATTCCAGATTTGCTCAACTTCTGTTGATTCTTATTACTAATTTTCAACTAACCGGAGTCACAGTCTTATTTCCAAAATTTCATATCTGCAAAACGGCACTTTATTTGTTATGATTTCTACGTTTTTTTTGTTTAATCAAATCATATTATATTGCTTAATAAGCAAAGATGGATTAGAAAATACCACAAAGTATTTTAAAGATTCTTATAATTTTTTATGGTAAGTTTTATATTAGAGAAGGTGATAATATTGATATTCCTGTCTAAATATCTTCCAGGCCATAAAATATGAATATTCTTGTGACTTCTTAGGGAATGTTCCTCCTTTTAGAGAACTTGATAATGATTGGTATTCAGCTAAATATTTTTTATCAGTCAATGTATCCTAATAATTGATTCATATTCTTCTACTCATTGTGACAAGTTTACTTCGGACGTCCATGCTTCGTTCAGATTTTGGTTTCATCTTTCTTATTGAACTGAGGCTCATCCTTTTGAGAGGAAACTAACGCGCACATTTTATTTCCTTAAAAATTTTTTTAGCTGTTGCTTGTTCTTCTATGATTGCCTGGTTCATTTTTTTTCTTAGCCGCTTTCCCTTTGTTTTTGAGCCTTCTAATGCTTTTAAAATAATCATTTTCCTCAAGTAGTGATGGGCATGCTTAATTAGTACCAAGAATGGCAAGTTACTGTTTGCCTATGAAGTATTCCATTCTTTTATCGAAAGTTAATGTGACCTCTATGTTGTTCTGCTTATATATTTCATTAAACTTGTGATTGATTGTCTTTTTTCTTCTGTATTGGGGGGGATAAATAAAATTAATTAAACTTTTTTTTTTTGCAGTAAGTCGATCCTCAACAAGCACAAGTTATTTTGGTGCAATATTCAATCGTTTTATGCATCAGATGGTTAGTTACATTAGACGTCTCTTTTATGATTATGTGGTGCCTTTTTATGCGTTAACGTTTTTCTATTCACTTGTGGATTATTTATTTTATGCTTTTCGAATGTGCCTCTTGAATATGATGTTGGTAGTGAATTACATATGCCAAGCATGATAGATTTGGTCTTCATTTAAAATTTTTGTATTAAAAAGTTGCTTTAAAAAGCAGCAAGAAAGCTGTACCAAATAAAACTTTAGTTATACCTGCGCACCAATATTTGTGCTAAAACTTAAAATATGTGGCTTGAGCCCATGACCTTAGAGAGTCAACATTTTTTTTCTAACTGCTATGCCACTAGTTTTTTCAGTGTATCATAGGCCTTCGTTATAGACTATTTTTCTCGCTACTGCTAGATTCTCAGGTGAAGTTGATATCTCCTCATGTTCTCTTGCTATTTTTGCTAAAATTATGTAATAGTAATCCATGAGTTATTATTTGTTCTTCTGTTTTCATCTTGCATGTCTTTCTAGACAACATTCGAAATCTTAGATCCTTAAATTTTCCTACATCAAACAAAATCTATGATTCAATCATGATGTCATCTAAAGCAGGATATTACACTTTATTCAATTAAAAAAATTATAGGTTTTCTTCTCTTTGCATGTATGCTTGTTGGATATGTATTCTTAGATTGCTTTACAGTTGTGGATGAATACTCTAGGGAGAGATTCCTTGTACTTATTTGAGACATTGTTCTTCTCTTCAGGGTGATTTCTATTCTTACTCGTCTTTTAAATTGTTTGATCACTGGTTTTGTCTGATGCTTGAAATTTTCTCAATATAAATTTTGAGTTCTATTTTTGAAATATGAACTTGAATGTTGCCAAAAAAATTTGTGCGCTTGTTTTTTTTTTCTTGTGAAATTTTAAATTTGGCAATTATTAAATTATCTTTTGGGATTAGTAAAGCTTGTTTTAATCCTTACATTAAAAGCAATAAGTTTTTGCTAAAATTATGAATTAGTAACCCACAAATTTTTTACTTTTTTTATCTTCACCTTGCATACCATTTGGTTGCATTAGCCCTTGAGCTTAAGTGTCCTCCATCACTCACGTGGTAATGTGGTATGGTTTCTTGTGAAGGGTTATTCTATTTAGCCTTATTCATATATCATAAAGTAGCTTTTTATGACTTGAATGGACAACCTCATTCACAATGGAGGTAGCATAATTATTGCCCTAAGCTATCCCTCAATAAATGGCTTGGGACTTGTTAAATTCCAAGGCAATGATTTGAGAGTTATTAATTTCTGAACCATTAATACAGTCATTCTAATACTTGAGCTATTTGCATGAGTTATTAAACTTTGATACATTGTAATGCTGAGAAAGCTGCAGAATCATCTATTAGATGCTTGATCCTTACATGGCGTGACTCAAACGCACAAAATAAAGTCTGCATCCATTTACGGAGTAAATTATTCGGTCTAAAAGTTTTCCAAATATATTCATTTTAGGTTTGTTTTTTCATACATGCGACCCTGCCATCTTTTGAATCATTTATCATTTTTAATTTAAATATAAATATACATATTATGATATTATGAACCATAATTTATACTATTATATATGATGAGTAATGAAGATTTTTATTAGGCAAAAATACCCAAGTCGGTTTGTCAAGTCAATGCTACAGTTGTTTTTTCTTCAGACAATGCTTATTAATTACCACCACTACTTTGGGTATGCTGTTCAAGTATTCTAACATTTATCCTTTTTTTCTCTAAGCTCAGACAAATCATCATTTTTCTACTACTGCCATCAACGAGGCTTGTGAAGGTCTGGAGAATAAGGAAAAGTGAGTAATTTAAATTTTATTTATAATTTGTAAATTGTAAAAGATGAGTTCAACCTGGTTTTTAATCTTTTTCATATTAAAATGTGGACCATCACCATTTCAAATCAACAACAACAACAACAAGCCCTTATGCCACTATATGGGATCAGCTACATGAATAATTTTTCTCCATTGTGTCCGATTGAGAATCAAATTCTCATTTAAATCAAATAAAGAAAGATCATTTCTAATAATTTCTAACCGAGTCTTTTTAGGTCTACCTCTACATTTATCAACATAAATCAAATCTAATATATTTACTTTCATAACCGGGTCATCGGAAAGCCGTTGTTTTATGTGACCAAACCATCTAAGGCGACTCTCTCTAATCTTATCCTGCACTGGAGCTACTCCAACTTTTTCACGTATATGCTCATTTCATATGTTGTCTTTAATGGTAAAGTCACTCATCCATCTGAGCATCCTTATCTCTGCAACACTTAACTTAATATTATGCTTCTCTTTTAATGGCCAACATTCTGCACCATAAAACATTGCAGGTCTCACTACCACCTTATAAAAATTTCCCTTAAGTTTGAGAGGGACTTTTCCATCACACAATAAGTCCGATGCATTCGTCCATTTCAACCATCCAACTTGAATTCTACTAATAATATTCACTATCACTTTGAACAATAGATCCAAGATATATAAAACGTGTACTCTTATTAATGACTTGATCGCCCAAAGTCACAATCCCCCCACTAGATCAATTATTACTAAAATTGCACTCCATATATTCAGTTTTAAATCTACTCATACGAAGCCTTTAGACTCTAAGGTTGACCTCCATACTTCAAGTTACCTTCAACTCCCTCTCTAGTCTTATCAACTAAAAAAAACATTATCAGCAAAAAGCATATACCAGGGTGCAACCTCTTGTAAATGTCTAATGAGAACTTTTATGACTAAAGCAAAAAGATATGAGCTTAAGGCTGATTCTTGATGTAATCCAAGTGAAATAAGAAAATACTTGGTCAAACCATCTTATGTTTGAACACAAGTAACAACTCATGTATACATATCCTTAATGATTTGATTATAAGCATTATTAACCCCTTTCTTATGTAAAACTCTCCATAGCACTTCTCTTAGAACTTTATCATGTGCTTTCTCTAAATCAATGAAAATCATATGTAGATCCTCCTTATTCTCTCTATATTTTTCCATCAAACCTCTCAATAAATATATATAGCTTCCATAGTAGACCTACCTGGCATGAATCCAGTTTGATTTTGAGAAACATTAATTTTAAAGTATGACACATTAACTTAATTCCTCTATAATTTGCACAAAATTGTGCATCACATTTATTCTTCAAAATATGAAACAACACACTCATTCTCCCCTCATCTTGCATCTTTTTATTCTTCAAAATAATATTAAAAATTTTAATAAGACAAGAAATTCCTTCTATCTCCTAAGAATTTCCACACCTCTATTGAAATATCATTAGGTTCAACAGCTTTTTCACACTTTATTTTTCTTTAAAGCCTCTGTAACTTTAGTTTACTAATACGCCAATAAAAAATATATATATTTTTATTTAGAGTGGTAAGGTCACTAAAGTCAATCGCATTCTCATAATCTTCATTGAAAATTTTAGCGAAATATCTCTCATCCACCTGTGCTCGAATCATTCTGCAATATTTATTTCTACTCGGTAGTCCAACAATTATTCTGTTGTTCCTCACATAAAACCTTCGCTTACTTTTTTGATGTATTTTTCTGTAAGCCTCTTCTTTTATTATGTTTTACTCTTCCTCCAGGCCTTTTTTTTTTTTGGAAATCCTTAATTATCTATGTCCTTCTACCATTATAAACAAGTCAACCTTCGCTATTTGACCTGACATCATCCATTCAAGTTCTTTGATGTTCGAGGAAACTAGACATCCTTTTCCAGTACTTAAAAGTTCCATCAAGCTGACTGTATCTTGTTTTTCTTTATTTTATTCACATTTTCGCACATGAATTCTAGGAAATAGTTCTTTCAAAGGATGATTTAGAATATTTCCTTCTATTTAATCTTTGTATGGCTTCTATTTTATACAGGATATCTGTAACATTTGTTAACAAAGATGGCGAGGAAAAGACCATCAGTGTTCCTCTTGGAATGTCAATGTTGGAAGCTGCTCATGAAAATGACATAGAGCTGGAAGGTCGAGTATTATGATAGATGGATAAACAAACACAGGACAATTCTTTTCTTATTGAAAAAAAGGACAACTATCATGTTCTGTTTAGTAATGCTAATAAAAAATTAATAATTGGTCACGACATGCTTACCTAAGTTTACTTTTATGATGAGTCTCAAGATTGTTTTATATGATTTAACATTAGTATAGTATTAATTTTTCACATATTTCACTCATCTCAAAGCAAATCCGAGGGCTATGAGATTCATTCTAATAAATTTTGTATTAGGATGTCGACACAAAATTCTTCCTGAAAAAAGGGGAGAGCTAAGGCTTCGTTTGGGACGGCTTTCTTTCTGCTTCTTAAAGGAGCTTTTCAGTACAAAATTTTTTATTTTTTTACTAAAAAACTGCTTTAAGAAGCAGTAAGAAAACCGTCCCAAATGAAACCTAAGTGCACGCCATCAAATTTCAGCAACCCTTTTTTTCATAGAGGCAGTTTCAGTGAATGAACATCCGTCGTCTTTTCTATTCTTTACTCATACTCAAATTTACTTATCAAATTTCAGTAACATTTTTTGTTTGATTTCAGGAGCATGCGAGGGCTCATTAGCATGTTCTACCTGCCATGTGATCGTGATGGTACTCCCATTCAATTCTCATTAACTCTATTGTTTTTTCCTTCATATTTTAAAATAAGTTCCTAACAAGTGAATGTATTTTACTGCTAGGATGTTAACTACTACAACAAATTAGAGGATCCTACTGATGAAGAAAATGACATGTTAGACCTTGCATTTGGGCTAACAGAAACGTATTTATCGTCCTCTCCTCTGCTATTAATTCTAGTTTCACACAGCTCATTTTGGTTTGTTGGTTGAGAAATTTGACTATCAACTAAGAGGTCTTTGATTCGAGTCTTATGCATGCGATGTGTGTACGAGTCTGCCTTAATTGGCCTAAATGTCCCAAAAAAAAAAGTTTCTTCCACTCCTTTAACAGGTTTCGAAATTTCTTTGCAGGTCACGCCTCGGTTGCCAGGTGATTGCGAAACCTGAGCTCGATGGAATTCGCTTGGCCTTACCGTTTGCGACGCACAATTTCGCCGTTGATGGATATGTACCAAAACCGCATTGACTTGACATTCATATGAGGATTGAAGGTATATATGCTATAATGGTCTCAGTTTTGTAGCTTCAGACTATACAAAATAGGCATCAGATTAAGTTTTTGTTTGGGATAGTTTTCTTATTGCTTTTTAAAATATCTTTCTTATATAAAAATTTTATCCTAAAAAATTATTTTAAGAGGTAGTAAGGAAGCTGTCCCAAACGAAACTTAAGATGAAAAGGGTTGACATGATGGAAAAATTATTGCGTCCTCCCACCTACGTAGAGATGCGTCCTCCCACCGCCAAAAAACTCGGCTTTTGCTCGGTATTGCTAGGTATTATTTGGTAATAACGAGGAATATCATCATGTGAAGACCAATACCGAGTTATACCGAGCAATACCGAGCACATACCGAGTTTTCTCTAGGAAAAACTATGTATTTTTTTGTATTGCTCGGTATAGCTCGGTATTGGTCTTCACATGATGATATTCCTCGTTATTGTTTGGTATTGCTCGGTATTTGCTTGGTATTTCTCATTTTTTAGCGCGATTTTAGCTCTGGGAGGACGCATCTCTACGTCAGGTGGGAGGACACAATAATTTTTCGACATGATGATAGCTTGTAAGCTGTTATTTATTTATTTGAATTTTGTTCTGAGCTCTATTAAGTGGAGACTGTAGTTGTAGCCGGGTATTAGCATTTATTATTCTCGGGTGATATTTCATGATAATTTTGGCTGTTACAACTTGCAAAAAAAAATGTATTTACATTGCAGTTCACAATGTTAAAATCTCTCTCTCTCTTGTTCTATTTATGAGTTTGATATCTGAAATTTATTTATTGTTTAAGACAAGAATATGAAATACACAATTAAATAAGATAAAATATAATTTACTAAATAATTTATGTCATGATTATTCGATAAATTTTATATAAATGTTTAACTATTTAACACAATTTTTTACTTTTCTAATTTATTTGAATACACAATTAAATAAGGTAAAAAGATAAAAATAATTATTAAATGTGTATTTTAGAACGGTTTTATTGAGTATTAATTGATGAAAAGCAAGATAAAATTTAAAAAAAAAAACATAAATTTTAGTAAGATAATATTCAAATTCATTAATATAGCTATTAAGCTCTTTAAATTAAGTAAAATTTCATTTAATTACTTAAATGAATGAAGTTATGGTTTTCTTTATATTATATTTAATATATAACTGTCACCATAACGCTATTCTATGTTTTTTTTATTAGATTTATAACATTCATCATAAAAGCTTCATTTATATCACTCAACTTGTTATTAAAATATTAATAAATTGTCATCAAACAAATTAAGGCAGCATAGCCAATATAAAAAAAAAGGAAGGGGCCAAGTCTTTATTTTTTAAAATATTTGTTGATGGTACCTTTAGGATGGTATAATATTCAGTTAATTTCTTTTTAGTTCTCTTTATCTTGCATTAAATATATTTATGCTAACTTCTCATGTTGCATAAGCAACATTAAGCAATATCTAGACTTTATTTGGAATGATTTTTTTATTATTTTTTAAAAATAAATTTTTAATATAAAATTTTAAATTTTTATATTAAAAAATTATTTTTAGAAGCAATAAGAAAGTCATCCCAAACGAAGCCTTAATCTTCGTTTGGCATTTTTTTTATTGTTATTTAAAGTAATATTTTAATAAGACAATTTATTGTTTTAAATTTTTTTTTGTACACAATTTATTTTAGAAAAAAGTAAGAAAGTCATCCCAAATGAATTTTGCCTTATGTTTCATTGTTGCTTCTTTAAACAAAAAATTTTTGTAAACTTAAAAAAATCAATAAAAAATTGTCCATATGAAGCTTTCTAAAATAAATTTTCAGTACAAAATTTTTAATTACTAAAAAATAATTATATAAAATAATAAAAAAATTATCTAAAACGAAGCTTTAGTCCTATATAGATTATTGGAAACGTATTGATTCAGTGGCTGAAGCCATGCTTCTTTTTCCATTTAATTTCTAGCTTATACCTAGATAATCTAAAGTGGTTAGCGAGTGTCTTCACTTAAATATTTTCTCTTTATTATATTATCATATAGCACGTACCTATTCAATGTATTGCAATACTAAAAGACTTAAGATATTATGGCCATAACATAATATTAGTTGTTGGCGTTGCATTTGTTGAAAGATTCTATGAATGAGCTTATCTTATAGATTTTTTTTGTAAATTTGATGAGCTTATCTTCTTAAAAATTTTGGAAATCCTAAGGCCTTAGAAAAAAATTCAGGCTTCGCTAATTCCCAACCTCCTGTGAGTGCCTACATGATTTTTTTTTAATATTCAGCAATAAATTATAAAATATATAACTCAAATTCATGAATTTACACATACAACCTTCTTCCTTAACTACATCTATTTAGTATTAAAAAGGCATTAAAATTACCCATATATGCTTCATTTAGGCCGGCTTTCTTACAGAGCCATGCATTGAGTACCCATACCCACACCCACACCCACCCATATATCCACCCATACACAATGGGTGTGGGTGGGTATGGGTACGCCCATGATCTTGTGGATGAGTATTGGTGGGTACTCAATATCGGTGGATAAATTGATTTATATTATTAATAACCGCTTATCTTATATTACTGCAATACTCACTACGTAGTGTGCAACACTTAACCACACTGCGACTATTGTAAATTTTGATATACGGCTTGAAAGTTTGTAATCATAGCAAAGGGCAACAAGCCTTAAGGCCATCGGTCTGTGGCAGACTTCATTCAAAAAGCATTAAAAGTGGGTGGGTATAGGTGGGTACGACGACCCGAAAGTCACCATGGGTGGGCGGCGAAGCCCATCCGAGTAAAGCATGGGTATCCAATGGATACCTAACTGGGACCCCATGTAGGGCTTTGCTTTCTTACTGTTAAAAAAAAAAATTCTTTTGGGCAATAGAAATTAGACAATAATATATTGATTAGTCTATTTCCAAGTTGTCAATCAATCTAACATTTCCGAAGCAGGCAGCAACGCATATTACAACGGGGCATGAGATCTCTTCAACAGGGCTTAAACCCTGCTGCTCCACAATCTGCATTTGAGAGAGAATGTTTATTCTAAGTATTTTCCCCTGGAAACATAGCAAGTAAATTAAACAGTTTCAAAGGACAAGAAAGAAGATCAACAAGGTTCCAGACAATAGAAACCAGTTTCCATGGCCTTGATCAATTTTTAACAGCTACATTCATTTATCAAACTAGCTGGCCGGTCGTGATTGCATAATAATAATAATAATATGTATCATACATAGAATATGTGATAATTTAAATACAGTAACTATAATAACAGAATCGGTTCGGCTCGATTCAGAAATGGGGTTGAGCGAACAAACATGCTAAGCGCTCCCTTTGTACAGGCTCGCCTCCTTTGCATGCAGCGGGACGAACGATGCCTCCAGCTCTTTCGTTCTTTCTCCAATCACGATTTCTTTCCCTATTCGAAGAATTCTCCCGCCTTGCTGCCTTCCTCTAGCCATATAAAGGCTGATAGGAGATCTATGGCATCATTTTAAACCTTCTATTGCCTCTTTAAAGCCGCCGAAGTCCCTGCACCATCTTGCAAACGCCAAACCCTTGTTTCTCTCCTTTCGACAACAACCTATAGCAAGCTCCTCCTCCGATTCAGACTTTTCCCTTTTCTCCTTTCCTCCTTCATCCTTTCTTCTTCTTAGTTCCCGAGATATAGAAGTAGATGTTCTCTTTTGTATTGTTTTTGCTAGATTTGATTTGGTGTTATCTTGATATATTGTTATGATGAATTTTAACTTGCTTTCGGAGAAGGTTTTATTTAAGTTTGATGTTTGATTTGATTAAAAGCTATATTATTTTATATCCTTTAGATGTATTATTAATCTAAAATTTGTTTGTTGAGTTTTGTTTTAATTTTGTTTTCCGTAAGGTGCCTTGGTTGGTCATAACATAGATCACATTAAATGATAATTGATTTGGTGTTTTCGGTGTGACTAAAGATTTATTAGGATATTCATTATTTTCTCTCGAAGTGCATAATTATAAATCTTTGGTTCCACTTCTTATAGCACTTCTGAGTGACGACTTTATAGGAAACTATTGGATTTCCTTGAGTTAGTATTTACCTTCCTGGTGATGGGGTATTTGATAAACCGACTTGGGGTATCTGATAAACCGACTATATGTATAATGTTAAATTTAAAGAATTTGAGAGGAAAAAAGTTTAATTACGTGTGCAATGAAGGCATGGTAGTACGGAAAAAAATGTTTTTAGGGTTGCGGCAAGCTTCAAGGATTGTAGCAGAAAAATATGTCTCAAGCGGCTCAACACTTACCACACAAATCTCTTCCCTTCCGATCGAGCCAGCCTTCAGCCCAACACAAATTAGTCGTCTGACTCCACTTGAACACTCCTGTTTGATCGACCTGGTACATGCGCATGTAACGTCTTTGATCCTTATGGTCTGATCTGAGAAAGGAGTGCATGTCTCGCACTCTTGCTTGTCCTGGCCCTAAACCCGCATGAGAGTGAACCCTCAACTCTTTCTAGAAATACGTAAGAGGAGCCCTACCATTCTATCTCTCCTCTCTTTTGGGAGCATGAAGGAAGCAGAAGGACCAGTATTATTCAGAATTTCACAATGAAGGCCGGTGGTGAGAACCTGTATTCCTCATAATTCCAGCAATGAAGGTCGATAGCGGGAACCTATATTCATCATAATTCCGACAATGAAGGTCGGTGATGGGAACCTATAGCAGCATGCATGCCAGCAGGATTTGACGCAAATGCGGAGGATGCTAGAAATTTTGGGGCTAGAGGAACAAGACGAAAGCTATCCAGACGCACGCACCCGCTCTATCTAGATGCACGATCTCTCGTCTCGTGCAGTGGCGCAGTCTCTCGTCTAGACGTAAGCTCCTCTTGGTTCGACCCCAGGTGCATGCTGGAGGAGGCTACCGCATGTGGCAAGCTTTAGGGACGCACGATCCCGCTTGGTTCTGCCCCAGACACAAGCGCATAATCTTCTGTACATACGACTCTCTAATCCCGTTCGATTGCTCTTATGTAAGAGGGGTTCACGAGACGTTCGTCTCTCTCGATCGAACGCAGAGATTGTGGGGTTCTCGCTCGACTCCTTCAGATGAGACGCACGAGACATTCGTCTCTCTCGATCGAACACAGAGACTGCAAGATGAAGCACTCTCCCTTTTCTCAGTTGGACGTATGCAGGAACGAACAAACTAGGAACCTGCTCCCTTTCATTTCTGAAGGGAAGGTCGGGCATTCCCTTCAGAAAGCCCAGCAATAAAAAAAAAACTCAGAATTTCAACCAAGGCAACGAAGGCTCTGATACCATGTTAAATTTAGAGAATTAGAGAGGGAAAAAACTTAATTTTATGACACAAAACTATTCCTATGTATAGATCTATACAAGATGTCGTAATAAAGAAACAAATAACTACAAAATCATGCATAATTACCTAAATATAATCCTTCCTAAATCAGTCACCCAAATATGGAAGGAGATCGGCGTGATCTTGGTGAGCCTCCCACGGATTCCCATCCTGGCCGTGGGATCAAGTGTTAAGGGATGGTTGGGATTTAACAGAGATCGGCATAATCCAAATGAGCCCCCCACAGATTCTCATCCTGACCGTCTGACCGTGGGATCAAGTGTCAAGGGACGGCTGGGATTTAAGATAGATCATTCCAAGGAGCTTGAAGAGCAGGTGCCGTGAACGTTGGGTTTGCTTTTCTTCATATATAGATTTAACATATATCATGTTCCTTAGACCTTTGTAATTTCATCTGCATGTAGTGGCTAAAGTTAGGGTGAACCGCCCTCCATCCCTCACAAACAGCACATATCTACTTAATCGTCTTCTAAACTCTGATTAACTTATCATTAATAATGGTTCAGACCCTCTATTAAGATGTAATTTAGGCTTCGTTTAGGATGGCTTTTTTACTGCTTTTTAAAGCAGCTTTTAGTACAATTTTTTTTTTTTACTTTTTTAATTAGGAAGCAACTTTAAGAAGCAATAAAAAAGTCATCACAAACAAAGCCTTAATCAGCTAAGCCAAGAATAAACCAGGGCATGTGTAAATCTTCAGGTTAAATCTAGGTAAATAAGAGTTTGACAGGATTGAAACCAGCACCAAATAGCCGTTTATTAGAAAAATAATACACCATATTTAGATTCACAAAAAATAGCATTGACATCAAAGAAAAAGCTTTATGAGCAGAAGCATTTCAGGTTACCTCAACATAATCAATTTTACCACCAGCTTCGGATATTGTTTGCTTGATTAAATCTTTTAGATCTTGACAATTTTTCTGTCCTTTCTCTGCAGCAAGTTTGGCTTTTGATAAAGACCTATTAATAGACAAAGCCTGCAGAGAAATCCAACACCAAAATACATGAAACGTTGTCTCAATTCTCAAATAAGGACTGATCAGTGCATTAAGCGATGCCAGAAAATGAAGAGATGAAAGCAAAACTTTAACTTTCTATAAAGCATTTTTTTTCCAGCTAGAAATACTGCACAAGCGCAAATCATGAAAATTAAAGGATTAGTCGCATGGTTTTCGACAACAAATTAACACGAGAAGGTGAATTGCTTGACAGTATAGTCAAGCAAATCGGATATGGATAAAGGTTTTCCAGAACATTTAGCCAAAGTTTAGTTGTCAGGTAAACGTCTCTTTTGCATTAAAGAGGCCAGGTTTGATTAAGATCAGAGCACATCTTAAGTCAGAGTGTGAGACACCCGATAAAGGCATTCCAATTGCCATGTCTTTTAGGACTAGGACGGAACCAACATCAGACTAATTCAAACTCGTTACGTGCTACTGATTGCATCATCCCACCGGAGAACCAATTGTGAGGAGAAAAACAAGATAAACTATAATAACTACACTGAAATAGAACCAAAATGCAGAGTGTGTCTGCTAGGAAATACTTGAAGTTCACAAGTAAAATCTAACGATCATGACAAAAACAGTAAGAACAATCCATAAATCTAATGGAAAAATCAGAAAACAGCAGTTTTTATTGCAATAATCAAATTAATGGAAGAAAAATAGCAAGATACAATTGATCCTCAATTCGAGAGGAGGATCTATCTCTCCCAATCCCTAGACGCCGCTAGAGACTAAGTCACCAAACTCCAAGAACGAAATCAGCCATAATAATTTGCATATCCTAACCCTAATTCTCTCTTTCTATTTAAATCAAACAAACCCACCTCCTTAGCCCAAGCCGCCCCTTCCCTCCCTTCCTAATTAATTTCATGATTAGATCCCACTCATGTATGGGCGGCAATTCAAGAGGGAGGACTAGGCTCGGTCCGCCTCTTATAAACCTGGGCCGGCTGGACAGGTCCCTCTTGGACTGGTCTGGGCCTAACAGTATCATAAACATAATAAAAGAAGCTGCTAAGAATTTATGGAGCTAAAGAAACTCGAAGAGAAAGGAAAGAAAAGAAAGCCTCACAACAGTGAGTCATAAAAATAATGGCAATATTAATGTAGGCTATGAAAATATCCCCCCTGCTGTCACATTTGAGCGATTTCAGATCAATTTTTGAGAGAGATTGAATATTATTCAAATCAACCTAAAAATTTCACCTTCCTTCAAGGATTTGTGATCTAATTCAAGACTTCCCATTAGTGCAAGCCCATGTGGTCTCTCGATCACAAAAGAGAACTAGTAATTGCTAATCTATAGAGTCTACAATGCTTTAACTTAGTAGCAGCAATTTGAATTGTAAAAAAGAAGAATATACAGCTATTATCTCATAGTGAATGGTGAAAGAATGATGACAAATCTGATAAATGTCTCATGGTAGGACATCCTGGGAAGTCATGGACCCTAATCTACTTAATTGGTAAAGATAGTTGACCCAACCTAGCCCAACAATGTGAAAAACCATGAATTACATCGTGATGAAAGCAACAAACTTTGGGATCTTATGTTCACAATGCAACGAACTTTATGAGCTTTTATAACATAATTAATATAAGGGTGATATAGTACATAACCACAAGTGACGACAGAGTACTATAAATAGTAATATCTATTACAATAATAGACAACCAAACACCATAACAAGAAGCAAAGTTAGTATTGCATGCCAAACGCAGTGGCAACTGGTGTTTCATATCACAAAAGCAATTGTAATAATAGAGTTGGAAAATATAGGTTGTAACAACATTATCAATGATGCTTATAGAACCATGAATAATTACACAAAATATGTACAAAACTACAAAATTACATGGGATTCACATCATAGCTAATACAAAATGCATAGGAACACATGAGTCAGCTCACAATACACATATAAGAGCACTCAATATCAAAATTATCATGATACTAATATGATGCATGTTGTGCAAGCTAGTTAAGGAATATAACACCCACAATGCACTAACTCACATGACCAACAATCTCCACATAAATCCTATATACCTCACCATGCATAAGAAGAACATCATATGAGTGCATGACGTATAAGGATACCTCACCAAACCTAATTCTATATATATATATAGGAATACATAAGTAACAACGTGATATAAATTTATGTGTAAATAACCGATAAACACATAAAGCAACATTCAAATAGAGAAATACTATGATAAATCATGAGAGAACATCAGTTATTAAAATCTAAGCTGGAAGAACAACGACCTAACTCGAGCCTAACAGCTTTCCCGATTGGCCCAACTCCTGTCTAAGATTGTATGGCCTCCAAAATGAGCTTTCATTCTCTAGCCTCTCCCTTTCCCAATTCATTATTTGGGCTGATTTTGAGCTTGAATTTGAAAGGAAATGGGTTAAAGGATAGGGATGAGGGCATTTTATTTTCCAATTATGTCATTAACGGGAATTCAAGTTTCCACAAAGCAATGCTCGATCAACATAATGCTTTCAGAATTAAGGAAAACTTGTATAAATACTACATTGAGTTAAGACTATGCTGGTGAAAATTGTTTGCAAAATTGACACATTACAGCCCTAGAAAGTACGATTATAAAGGCATATATCATTGGATCGTATCACAGGTTGCTGACATAATCATATATGATTGTATGCAAGATAAGATGATCGTAAGTATGATCAATCATAAATCAAAACTCTTGGATTTTGATTGTAGTATGCATATATAGAAGCATCATAACTATCATGTATGTATGGAAGAAACATTATATTTCTAAGAAACTCAATGTGCACATGCAAACACACACATAGTTCAAATTAGATGCAAGCCATTGCATAGATATGCCAAGTCACTATAGTAGTTGGTATTATAAAGGAGATGATAGAGAATAGAGTTTGAGAAGGGGGGGTGGGCTAAAAAGGGTGACTAAGATGGCAAAATGGAAAAAATTAAGGAGAGGAAAAAAAAAAGAGAGTTCATTGAGGGAGTTTATATAGAAGAAGTTTAATCAAGAAAATTATTTAGGGTCAAACAATCCCCACTTGGGCGCCTTTATAGCTCATCGAAAAGGTGTCACAAATCACGGCTCAATGGGAATAAAGGGGGTTAGCCTTTTTAACACTTTTAAATTATTAATATTTCCTTTGGGTGACTACCATTCTTCATTGAGGTGGAGGACGCACGGTTCCTTACTTTTTTTAAAAAGCCTAACAGGCTCTCTACACAAGGCTTCTAACAATGGAGCTAAGAAAGATAGCTCACTTGGGGGCATCAATGGAGATGACACCAATCTGGGCTAATATGTGAGATGGCGCCCATTGTGGATTGTGAAGAGAGATGGAACCTTTCAAAGGGGGTGTCAAAAGAGATGCAAATATCAGAGGGCATCAAATGAGATAATGCCTACCGAGGAGCGTCAAGCGAGATGGCGCTCACTAGAGCTATTTGAAGAGATGGCGATTGTTAGCGTTGTCAAAAGAGATGGCCTCCATTGATGTCCATCATATAAATGCGCTAGTTGATTTGCATTGAGAGGGACGGATGTTGACCTCTTTTTTTGGCATCGGTCACTTACGCTATCTTATCTTGCATTTTGTAGATTGATCCACCTTATCGTATGTTACATCGTTGTGCTGATGAAGCGTCACCTTGCGTATGCTATCTCGGCTCGTCGTCGACCTTAGGATTTAGTCCTTTTGATCACATGTTGTCCTCTTATAATGTTTCAAATAACATGTGGTCGGGTCGATAACGATTTTGATTTGATTTCACGCATTTGGGCCTTTATCACGCATGTTCGTTTCGTACTTAATATCTTTTGATTGAGACATCGTTTTGTGAAATGGATTGCACGGGTGAGTCCGGATCGTCTAGATCATCCGAATAAGCCCATTCACACTCGAGTCGAGTATCGAATATGAAGCCCATTAAAAGGTATCGAGTAAGATCGTGCTTAGCAAAGGTGTCAAAAGAGATGACACTTTAATGAGTCATCAAAATAAATGGGACAAAGTGCTCAAAGTTAAAAAACATTTATGTACATTTTTCTTAAAAAAAAAAAGTATTCTTTTGGCTTTGATTATTCTTCTAACTTCAAGCATATTTTCTTTGAGTTTTGATACATTTTTTCCCATTGATGAACCAAAACACTAATGTGGTCAAGGGAGGTCACAAGTTCAACAATGAATTAACAAACAAACTTTAAGTCAAAGCAAAATATTTAATGGTTTCATAAAGAATACTATGTACATATAGTTTACAAATGTTATTCTAAGAAAAGAAGAATAATAATTAGATGGGGGAAGATAATGTAATATGGCGTCTACGGGCATGAAATGAGATCTCATTCACCAAAAGCATCATTCTTTACTTCATAGCCTCTTGATCGTAATTGATGTCATCCCCTTGAATTGATTCTTCGTATTCCAATCACTATTCATGAAAACACTATATCAATCTACTTTCATCTACCTTAAAAGTGTGTTGCCACAATCCACTAAAATAGTCATTTCTCGTATTGTACTTCCTACTTTCATTATACCCATCTTAATATCCTCATTTTCATTTGGAGTATCTCTCTTGTTAAAAGAAAAACTATATATTGCCATAGCACTCGAATAAAAAAGATTTTCAAGGCAAAATCATAAAAGGATTAAAAAGGCTATCCAACCATAAAAACTGCATTTAAAATGTACACTAGCGAAATGTAAACAAAATTTGCAAGAAAGATAATCAAACACTCAAGTCCAATTATCCTCCAACCCTCCTTCCATTGATGCTAGACATTTACATTGTTCTCTGAGACAAAACAATTCATCAAATTCTAGCAATGTATGACAATTATGAATCTATGATACTTAGACAAATTTATCATGATTGTACACCCAATGTCACCTAGGCCAAATTAGTTGGGTCTCATTGATCATTCAAAACATGTTGATCTAATAAAGAGGATCAATTTGCCAAAAAATAGAAATAGCCAAAGGATATAGTGATCTCTCAAGTGAATTCAATTTGTCAAAGCTATTCGCCACATTCCTTCAATATTTGGTAGAACACTAATTCAACGTTAAGATCATTTGAAGTTTTCACATCTGCTTGGTATTGGGCACCGAGATTGCTTCGAGTCATCAAGGCAACTCTCTCACTGAAGTCGTACAAGAAACAAAAGCTACTCTCCAGCTCAAAATAAAATCACCAACAACTTCACTCGAACTCACACTTTAATTGAAATTTGTTGTATGTATTTTAAAAGCTAACTAAACTAATTCATTTCACAACAAACACATGTTAAGCCTTTCAATATAATTTTACTTTTAGTTATCAAACGTAACATTTCTTATAGAACCATACATTAATCCAAACATATTAATATGATGTTAAAGGATGGGCCTACAACACTAAGTCATGTCTCCAGATTCAATCTTTGATGAGGTTCCAAAGCTTCTCTCTCTCTCTCTCTCTCTAAGCTCTCCTTATGTCTCTTCTCTTTTATCTTTGGCTTGATCTATATTTGTTATTAAAGTTCCAGTGTCACCCAAAGATGCATTTGGATCCAACAATGATCACTAATGAGCTTTCCATCTCTCCAAGCTAATGCTTATGAGGACTCAATTTATATGGCACAACACTTAAAAAAGTAAAAGTTGGTCTTAAAAAAAAAATCAAGGAAACTGTCATCAAATCAATAGAGAGGGTGGTGTTCACCAAACCTAGTTTGGGGTTTGGATGTCACAAATCACTCCTCTAGTTGAAATATCTAGCCCCTCTTTCATTGCCTAAATTACAAATTTGAACTAACCCAACCGAGGGCTTGCATCTAGTTTGAATTCGAACCATGAAAGTTAGCAAAATACAACACATCAATTGATAGCATTTTCGTGCTTATTCAAGTTTTACCAGTACCTAAAATTATTTTAGACCCCAACACAGGCGCTAGCTAGACAAGAGTATGACCCGTTACAAACAAAACCTCAAAACAACATAAAGCTAAAAGCAAAGCAGGACTTATCCCCAAGACTGGAGATTCAATTCCAACAATAAAGGGGAAGAAGGCAGAGAAAAGGAAGTTGAGTGAGAGGCTAAGAAAAAAGGAAGAAGGAATGAAACCAGACGTGGGAAAGGACAGATTAAACAGTGAAGAGGAAGGCGGTAGAAGCAACAAGGAACATAAATGAAAGAAATGCACAACTGAAAGAAAAGGAGAAAAGGAAGAAACTATGCATAAATTTTGAATAAAAATTTGAGATATACTCAATTGAAGCATTGAATGAAAACATTAAGGGGTGTAAGAATCAGCATTTTTATGGATCAAAGGAAAACAATAACAAATTGAACCATAATGAAAGTGCAAGACAAACCTTTTCTCTCTGCGTAGGTGATAGATGCACATTGCGGGAACTCATGGCAAGGCCATCAACATCTCGTATGATGTCCGAACCAATCACTTTGACAGCAAAATCAAGATCACGAACCTGTAAATGATCAACTTTGAGTTACTTCCATGCAATGTGCATTCAAGCATATAGAATAGCACCATTTTCATTTAGATATTGATGAAGTAACAAGCAAACTTTGCAAGGTAACCATTAGGTAACCATTATATCACATGAGTAAAATAATACTTTCAATTTGTCTTAATAAGACTATGAATATCCAGTATTACTAGGTAACTTGCATTGAAATAGATTTGCATGCATGGGTCAAAGTCAGCACACCTTCCTTGCAAGATGACATGCAAGGATGCTCTAAATGATTCAACATTGAATAGTAGTTCTCAATATTGTCTCAATATTCTAATTTGCATGATGGTACACTTCAATTTTTGAATTGCAAGTCACAACAACAGCCAGATTTCACCCTTTTTCGCTAGTAAGCTTCTGTTGCCTTGCAATTACTTCTTATGTCAAAATAATCAAAAATGTTTCTTTTATCACAGAGAGAAGGGCATGCGAGCATAGAAATGTATACAATTCAACGACATTGATGTTTGCTTAAGTAAATTATTAATTGACTGTACCTTAGCAGTACCTACATCTATGAACAAATTAGCTCATTCAATAACGCACACAGAAGCAAGTGTACTGCGAAAAAAAAAATCCTGTGCAAGCGAGTAAATCTCAATGGATTTGGAAAAAATGATTTTTTTGGAGGGGGAATAAAAAAAATGATTTTTTTATTGCACACGTATTTCAGACAGACATCCCTAGTCACGAATTCCAAGTACATAGAAGTTTTAAACGAGAAACATTAAATCACAGACGAGGAAAAACATGGCATACGAATCAGGATGTATGAAAAGGAATTTCGTCTGCATAGGATCTTCGCTCAATATAACAATAACTCAACCATATATCAAAAAATGAAAATAAAATCTTTAAGTTTGCAGCCTCAAAATCATGCAAACAAGCACCTTTAGCACAAACAAGAAGGGTTAATATAAAAGTTTCTACATTTCGAAAATACTTCACTGCTATTCAAATTTTGCTTCTCAGTCTGCAGTCTGCACTTTACATTAACACCCTCATGACAAAAAAAAACAATTAAAAACAAAAGACCGCGATAATTTGAAACGTACCATCCGACAAATAACTCGCCACTGCTGATAATCCTTCTTCCCAAAAACCGCCACATCCGGCTCCACGATATTGAACAGTTTCGCCACCACCGTCGCAACCCCTCTAAAGAACACCGGTCGGCTCGTCCCGCACATCCCTTTCTCCAGCCTCTCCACCCTAATCCACGTCTCGTGCCCACTGCCCCCATCTTCCAGACAAGAATCCCCCTCCCTTTCGCCGTTAATTGCTTCCTGATGCCCACCAAACTCCTTAACCGATGCCGAATAGTAGAGTTCAGCAGGGCAAAAAACAACATTAACACCGGCGGCGGAAAGCTTCCGGAGATCTCCGGAGAAATCAGAAGGGTAGGTGGATAGATCCTCGGAAGGAGAAAACTGACCGGGGTTCACGTAGATTGAGACGATGATCAGGTCGGCAAGGGATTTGGCCGTGCGGATGAGAGAGAGGTGACCTTCGTGAAGGAAACCCATGGTAGGTACGAGGGCTATAGTTTGACCATTGCAACGGCGGGAGCGCGACCAGGATCGCATTAGGGTTTTGTCGCGTAATACTTCCGGCTCTGACATTTCTATCTGGGTTGGCCGTTGCGAGGAGAACAGTGACAATGGAATCAATAAATAGCCGGATGGCGGCGGGAGAGGTCGAAATCTTTTTTGATAAGGCAACGTGGACATTGAACCAGCGAAAAGGACCGCGAAATTGTGCGCTGGAAAGGCGCAATTGATCGGCAGAAAAAGGGCTCAGTGGCTCCCAATATCTTTTCATTTAAAGGTAAATAACTAAATATCATATATTGAATTTTATGTTACATAAATTTTAAAATAAATTAATAAAAATTAAGATTCATTATAAAAATTTCATCATGATATTTTTTGCGCAAATTTCTATTTTAACTTGAATGAAATTTTATTAAATATAATTGTAACACAGCTATTTCCTCATATGTATGATATTTTTTATGATTTATAATGATAATAATTAGTCATTACATATTTAACTTATTTTAGTTTTTATTTATATTAAGTCATAATATGCGAATTATTTTATAATGATGTTAATAATTATATCATGTAGTTCTTAATAATAAGCTCCTATTAGATTAATATTTCAATATCCTAATTACTTCAATATATCATTGTTATATGCTACAATTTTTTTAACGGTAGACCGTTATTATCATCTTACACAAAGATTTAAGAAAAAAGTGGCAAAAGAAGAACTGCATAATTTGACCAATTAAAAGGATTTAACTAATGTTTGTTATATGTTACAAATAATTTTCTTTCCTATGATTGAGGACAATAATGATGTAATGTAGTAGATATATATATAGTATAAAACATAATTTTGTCGTATGAGTTGAAAGAATCCGTAGCACTGGAGTTGTCTTTAATAAATATTCTTTTCTGAAGTTCCCCGACCCCTTGAGAATGGAATGGTAGATAAAAGATTACAAATTCCTTCATAAATTGTTGGTGCTAATGTTAGAGTCATATGTGGTGTTGATGGCATGCATCGATCACAATGGTAATTAAGTGTATTGATTTTTTTAGTGACAATTGGTGCCAAAGTAAATAGAAGTCGATGTCGAGGCAAAAATGATAAAAGACTACAGCTGATTATCAGTTGTCAAAAGATTTTGTAGTAGGAAAATAGTGGGCAAAGAATCATAATCAAGCAACGACGATGGCCTAAGAACGAAATTCGGGTGGTGTTTCAAGAAAGTATTAAGTGTGAACTCTTTTTGTATATGAACAAAGACTTCTATTTACAACCGTCACGCAACTAAATTCTCTTGAATTATAATTTTTTTCCTTTCATGAAGTTAGCGCATCAATTAAAACATAAACTATCAAGAAAAAGACTTAGCTTCATATTCTTCAAGTTTGCTCGAGTATGGCTATAGAGGTTTAATTGGGCTCCAAAAGTGCAAAAAATTAGGTTAGAATATCAAGCAAAGATCACAAGGTCCCAAAAATGTTAGAATATACTTACTCAATACAAGATCAAATTGGAACTAGGTTAAGACTTAAGACAACGGCACATTAGCATGAGCGTGCCCGCATGAGGCATGTTTCAAACCATACTTTTTTTTTACTTGCCGCTCGAAAATCGCATTTTTCACTCTAAAATGCCGTGAAACTTAAAAATGCCGCTATTCATCTCCACTTGAACTCCATTTTGCGAAGAAAATGATATTTCTCTTCTTTCGCGTGTTCCTTGCCAAGTTTGGTAGAGCCAGAAAAATTGCGATGATGAACAGTGCAACGCTAATATTGGAGTCCCATTGTTCACCCGCAAGGAAATAGCTGAAGTTTTACCGTTCGGCTGGAGCTCCGGGGCGACGACATTCAAGCGTTTGGAGTTCCGTTGGAAATACTCTAAGCATGCAATCCCCGCACGCTGATGTGACAGTCGATAATTGCAAAAGAAAATTTATATTATTTATTCTTTTTATTTATTTCTTGTTTTAAAAAATAAATTTTGATTTATCGCTAAAAATATGAAATTTTAATTATTAAAAAAAAAAAAAAAAACAATGGAGCTCCGGGGCGACGACATTCAAGCGTTTGGAGTTCCGTTGGAAATACTCTAAGCATGCAATCCCCGCACGCTGATGTGACAGTCGATAATTGCAAAAGAAAATTTATATTATTTATTCTTTTTATTTATTTCTTGTTTTAAAAAATAAATTTTGATTTAAAGCTAAAAAAATGAAATTTTAATTATAAAAAAAAAAAAAAAAAAAAAACCCTAAACCCTAAACCCTAAACCCTAAT